AGAGAGAGAGAGAGACAGAAAGAGGGAGAAGGAGAGGATCTAGGATCTAAATGCAGGTATCTCATAGTTTGTGAGGTTTTTATGTCGTTTAGAGTGTACACTGTCGGAAGAACACGGCTTCTCCAAAGAAACATCGCAATACTGGGTCTACCCTGGCGATCTTACACAAGCATACTGCTACAAGGCTGGGGAGAAGATGAACAACTTACTCTCCAAATTTCAAGCTATCCAGCATCTACAATACCATTGGATGACACTAACGAACTTCCACCAGAAACCCACGAGATAAGCGTCGTCCAAAGAGACCCTGAGATCCCCGTGAGACCTCTAGGAAGCGCAGCAGGTGCGGGCTCGTCACCTCACGGTGCAACGGTGCGGCACTCGTTTCTTGTTCGGCGTTCGGGTGTGCAGTCGCTGTTAGGTTTAGGGTTAACCGTTTCAGCCCAGAGTTTTTGGGTCCTGGGAATAGAAGTCGGGAGTATTGCATGTGCGCTTTTGGCTTCGGTTTGCTGTCAAACGACCTGGGTCCTTGAGCTAAGCGGAGTTCCAGGCTGCACTTAACACGCTTCAGAACCCAACACCACAGTTCCTTAACCCTAGACCTAACTCTTCCATTAAACCCTAAACAGGCTCCAAACCCTACACCTCCTCCTGAAACTCGAAACTCCAAGGCCCGAACTCTGGACATCTCTCGAAGGCTGGGGCTGAGCTGGAAGACGAATTGAAAACAAGCCTCTAGAAAAACATTCATCCTCGCGGTGTAGGTCTCATTAAACAATGACGGAACCTGCCTCATCTCGCGATTGGGGTTCAGGGCATTACAGGGCAATGGAGCTCGAGACTGGACCCCAGTCTCATTTCAGGCCAAGCTGTTGGCCGGAGAAGAGGTGGGTTCAGGCTGGAAATTCGAAAAGACACGCTCTTGCTCACTCGGTTCTTAGGGCTTCGATGGCGGCCTTGGGCCTAGGGCCTATGTGGTGAAGGAGGGCAGAAGGCATAGGCTCCGAACCCAGCGGGTTCCCAAGTTCTTGTGGGAGCGCTGCATCTGCACGACCTGAACAAAGCCCGCGGAAGGCTTCGGGCTTAGGAAGGCGGGCTGAGGCTTGAAGACTGAGGAATTAGGTCGACTGCGCAAGTCAGCGCAGAGATGGTGGAACAGATGGAAAGGTGTGGACATGGTTTCGGCTTCGGGGTTGCGGCTTGTACTGCGCGGCTCCGACATGCCTCTGCCGCTACTTTGGTTGCGAAATCCGAGGCAGGCGGCCACGAGAGACTCCATGTTGATAACGGAGGTCCATCCTGGGAAATGAAGGCCCTGTAGAAGCAGATACAGCAACCGTTGCGGCCCACAGCTTGCGGGCGCCACCATCGCCAGGAGCTGAATTTTGGTGATTTTCATCGTCAGGCTGAAAAGCTTAAGAGTGTGGGCTATCAGACTTGGGAAGTTTAGGCGTACTCCAACCGGGCGCCAAAGGAAGGCAACGTCAGGAAGTAACCTGTCACCTGCCTGCGTCTTTGGAAGGTGCTCTTTTTAGGCAACGGCCTAGAATCCAGGGCCTTAGCGTTCAGGGTTTGGTCCAGCATGTCAAGCCCCCCGTCTCGCAATCCCAGCCGAAGGGCATCGAGAACCCTGGGAAGCCCGAGCTGCAGAAGCTTAGAGGGTCTTCTCTCAGACACTGCAGCCGCATATCTCGTAGACCCAATGCATCCCGGATCCGAAACCGGTAACCCTTCCTTCCCCAAACTTCTGAACTGCAGAAGCCGCTTCCCTGAATCCCGAAGGGCTGACCCTGAGACCCTGAACCTTGAAACCCTAAATCCTGAAACCTCTGAACCCCTGAGAGGGCTCGAGGCTTCTACCAGTAGCCCGCAGCACTGAGAACCGGCCCGAAACCCCATAAACACCCGGGCCAGAACACTCACCCGCCCAACAACAAAAATGCAAATAGCGACTAGCTTACGAGGTCCATGAATCCCAATGAAGCCCCATAAAGCCCTACTAAACCCCGGTTAGACTCCTACAACCCTAAACCCTAAACCCTAAACCCTAAACCCTGGACCCGAAACCCTAAACCCTGGACCC